ACACACACACAAACACACACACACACACACACACAACAAAAACAAAAGTAGTTCCAAAAGGAAGCTGGCTATATGTTTAGCAAATGGTATCACTATTTCCTCCAAGGAGATTGTAAACTCTACAAGGTTCCAGTGTGTCAGCCATTGGGAGCCCAGAGACCACATGTAATCCCAAGATGTCAAAGGATTCAAGAGAAAAGGGTCAGTTTGAGAAGACACCAACTCTAGAACAGACCACACAACATGACCCACTTACCTGTGAAAATGCGTTCATCAAACATCCTGGGAAGAGAGGGAAGAGAGCATGAGAGTGGTGTAGGCTGTCCCACCGGAGATAGCCACAGATCTCACTAGCACAGTTCTTAGAGCCACAGACTAGGGCACAGGGCTGGCCACACACATGGGCAAGGGTTGGGGAGTGACGGTTATTAATCTTGCCAACCTGATGGGACTTATAACCACCGTGGAAACAAACCTCTGGTCACGTCCACGAGGGAGATTCTAAACTAGTTAATTGAAGAGGGAAGCCCCCCATCCCAAAATGTGGGGGCCCCATTCCATGGGCTTGGGTCCTGGGCTGAATCAAAAGAAGAAAGACAGCTGGGCGTCAGCATTCATATCTTTACTTCCGATTGAGGATGCACTGTGACCAGCCACCTCACACTCCTGCTGCCAACCTTACCAGCCTGATGGACTGTATACCCTTCAACTGTGAGCCCAAGTAACCCTTTCCTCCCTTGAGTTGCCTTTGTTAGGTGTTTTGTTATAGCAACAAGGAAAAGTAACAAATAAAGAGGGAACATGAACAACTCAAGCTAATGTCCCATTGTCACTCTGGCCGTGAAAGACCTGTTAGGATTTTTTTGTTATTCTGTTTTTTTGTTTTTTTAAAGACAGGGTCTCATGTAGGCCAGGCTGACCTCAAACTCCCTATGTAGCCAAGGATGACCCTGGATGCCTGGTCCTTTTGCCTTTACTCCTATGTACTGGAATTACAGGCTTGTAACACCATGCCCTGTTTGCAGCACTGGGTATGAAACTGCCAGGGCTTCGAGAATGCCAGGTAGGCATGATACCCACTGAACCACATCACCACCCCTAGACCTGTTCATTAACTCCTGTTATACTTGTGTCTCACTAAGAGCCAGGCTCGGCAAAAAGCAACTTGGAGCAAACGACAGATCATAGCTATGGAAGGTGACCTGAGGGGTCCTTCAGGGGTGTTCCCAGAAAGTAGAGACCCTAAGCAAGGGCAGAAACTAGGGTGTTATGTAGCTAGCTAGAAGCAAAGTCCTTGTAGTGACGTGTAGTGATGTGCTGACACACAGGGCTTCCACTCTTGGGACCTACAGAGCCCTTGAACCTTGTAACAGGGTCCAATCACTGATGGACCAATTAGAGGGGAAGAAGCTGGGGCCCAGGGATGGTTCAAGGACTAAGAAAAACAGACAAAGCAACTGGAGCCCAGGCCAAGAATGGAGATGTTTGCCTGTAATGCCAACATTTGGGAGACTATGGCAGGAGGATCTTGAGGTAGAGGCCATGGGCTCATGACCTCATCTCAGAAAAGACTAACAACAACAGTTATTATTGACATGACCCTACAAGGGGAAATATTCCAAAGAGAAGAAAGTCTAGGGGGGGTCAGGGTTGGAGTCACATGTGCTCTACTTAGTTTTCAATTGTCTCTGTGACACAAACTAGAGTCACCTGAGGAGCTGCTAACATGAGACTGGCCTGTGGACATGTCTGTGAGGGATTGTGTAAATTGATCCCCCCCCCAAGTCCACTCTGGCAGGTGATCCTGGGCTGAGTAAGAAAGCTAGTGGAGCCTGAGCAGCAGGTGAGCCACAGATTGCGTCAGTGAAAGGCATTCCTCTGTGGTTCCTGCTCCAGTTCCTGCCCTATCTTCAATGGTGGACCATGACCTAGAATCAGAAATGAACCCCTTTTCCCCAGTGAAGCTGCTTTCAGTCACTGTGTTCATCAGAACAACAGGAAGAAACAAGGATAGGAGGCTGAGCATGTTACTAGGGGGTGACTATGGGGAGAGTGCCTGTGTGGAAATGTCGTGAAACCTATTATTTTGGATGATCAGTCTAAATTAACTTGCTCACAGTACATGAGACCATATCTTTAAAAACAAAAATGGGGGGGAGGAGCAAAACCCAACAATAAAAACTAGCCAGGAATAGTGGCTTTTAATCCCAGAACTTGGGAGGGCAGAGACAGACAGATCTCTATGAGTTTGAGGCCAGCCTGATCTATATAGTAAGTTCCAGGACAGCAAGACATACATAGTGAGACCTTGTTTGGGGGCGGGGGGAGCCGACTCAGGGTAGACTGGGTTGGGTGTCTAGGTTAAGGCTCAGGGCATGAAGTCTGAAGTGACTTCCTGTTCTTCTGGGAGACTGAGGCTTCACTGCTGTTCCTGGAGCTCTGGGAGCTCACATATATTTGGATACCACAAGGCCTGAAGCAGCCAGAGAGCAATGCCAGTGGGAACTGACTTCCTGTCTGGGGGAAGTAGGGTCAGACTAAACGGGTTTCTTTTTCTTTCTTTCTTTCTTTTTTTTTAAAGATATATTTATTTATTATGTATACAGTGTTCTGTCTGCATGTATGCCTGCAGGCCAGAAGAGGGGACCAGATCTCATTACAGATAGTTGTGAGCCACCATGTGGCTGCTGGAACGTGAACGCAGGACCTCTGGAAGAGCAGTCAGTGCTCTTTATCTCTGAGCCATCTCTCCAGCCCCTAAAGGGGTTTCACATCCTTTTTGGAGATCTGAAGGCAGAGGAAAAAGGGCAGATGGCCTCATAGGATGTCTGGGCTGGAGGGCACGCTAGGAGGACTAGGGTCCCAAAGCAGTCCTGAGTTCTATAATCTGCTTCTCTTTTTGCTTTTGTGGCTCTGAGGACAGAAAAATCCAGTGTCTCACACATTAGGCAGGTGCTCTACCACTATCCACACCCCCAGCCCCTCACTGGGGGATTCTAGGCAGGTGCTCTACCACTGAGCCACACCCCAGCCCCTCACTGGGGGATTCTAGGCAGGTGTTCTTTCACAGAACCAAGGCAATTCACACCTCTTGATTATGAAGTGAATGCTGTGTCGCTCTTCCAGAATCCGCTTCAGCTTGGGCACCCCATAAGTACACGGTCGTTTGAAGGGGATCTTGTCCGGGATGCCCACAATCTCCACAGCCTCAGGGTCACAGGCAATCTTCCGATAGGGGACAGGGACCATGTGGTCCAGGCCCAGGGCTTCCGCTGGAAGGGCAAGAACAAGAATGAGTGCAAGAGACAAGTCACAGATACCGTGGGCCAGAGCCCAGGTCACAGTCTCTTCCCATCTGACACTGCATTGGCTGTGTAGTAACAACCATGTCATCTTTCTCTCTCTTCTTTTTACTGTTTGAGACAGAGTCTCACTGCATAGCCCTGGCTGACACAGACCAGGCTGGCCTCCAATTCAGAGGCCAGTTTGCTTCTGCTTCCCAAATACTGACATTAAATTAAAGAACAGTACCACCTTGACCAGAGTCTTTTTTTTTTTTTTTTTTTTTTTTTTTTTTTTTTAAAAAGGG